GGCATCTTGGATGTATGTTTCTTGCTAATTGCAAATTTTTTGCGGAATTATATTAAAAAAAGGCGAAACATTCAGTGTTGTGGACTAATGTATGATTTTTTTTTTAATTATTCGCAGCAAAGACTACTACTAGTCTACTATATAGAGGTGTTCAAAACGAACTGCTCAAACCGGAAACCGCCCGGATCGGACAGTATCGGTCCGGTTCTCGGTTCTTAAAAGTGAAATCGGTATCTAGATGATCCGGTTTCCGGTCTGGACCGAAACGGATTGACAGGACTAGACCGAACCGATTACATATACCTTTTTTTTTACTTCAAAAAATTAATAAGATATGAACTAAACTCTAAGTGAACTTCATTGACAAAAATTAATAAAATGTGAAATAAATCCTAAGTGAACTTCACTGACATAAATTTATTGACAAAAATTAGTAAAATGTAAACCAAATCTTAAGTGACCGGTTCCCGATCCTGTCCCCAGTTCCAAATTTTGATAACCGAAACGGGAACCGATCACCCTTGCTACTACCGTTCTCTCCAATTTTGCAAGGACCCACAAAAATGGGTATCGAAAGCGTTTGCAAAAGGAATTGACGACGGTCTACGAAGGCCGAGCAGGCGCAGTTCGAGGTCATCGATATTGCTAGGCTCGAACCGGTTCAACTCGTAAGCGCATGCCACTCCATTACGAACCTGATAAATGTAATAACTCCTCTACACCGCTCCAAGTATTTGATATCGGGTTTCTTGCACTATCATCCCGACGTGCACCTCAAAATCCTCAACGATCATCCGATACGAGGATGGCGATGAACTACGCAGAATCGTCCTTAACGTACATAATCACTTGAATCCAAAAATAATGTAAATAATTTCGTTCAAAAAGAAAGAAGATATACATCTAACTCGTGAAGTCGCAATCACACGTGCTTGCGATTTGAATATGTCCACGGGCTCCGGTAACCGTCGTAGTCGATGCTCAAAAGCACGTATCGCACCTTAATCGAGGACACTAAACCAATTGGGACACAACTTCATACCATTCAAAATTGCTTTTTCCTCGGCGGCACTTCTTCCATATGGGACCAAGTCGGCGATCATACTTTGAATTGAACAACTCGTGATCAAGACTATACTTAGAATATGAAAATAATGATAATCAAAAGCTTATGCTGAGCAAGAAATCGAAAAAAGATTGGTGAGGACGACATCGGCAAAGGCGGGTCCGCGCCATCTCCACTGTAGGGTTTGTTATAGTCAAGAATATTTTCCAATGCGTGGAGGCCAAATCAACTTTGGAAAACACAAAAGTCTCGTGCTAGGTCAAGTTTAAGGTATTTACGTAACAACGATGGCATGGCGTCTGTGTTGGAACGTGATAAGACACCATCGTCGCCTTGACGGTACTCGCGTGCAACTCGTTCTTGCATTTGCTTTTGTGCAAAAATGTTCGCTTTCGGCAAGAATTTGACCTAAAGTCTCGTACTATGTAAAGTTTAAGGTTTTTTATGTAATAAAGATGGCGTCTGCGTCGGAACGTGATAAGACACCATCGTCATCTTGACGATGCTTGCATTGTTCTTGCATTTGCTTTTGTGCAAAAATGTTCGCCTTGGCAAGAATTCGACCTAAAGTTGTACAATCTCATCCATTGAACTTTCCTCGCTCGGTTAGCACTTTTATTAACTCGTCGTCATCAAAGTTCTCGCTATGCCAGACTTTAATGTTGATTAGTCGGAGACATAATAAGAAAATAAGTGGCTTCCGATCGATGATGCGATGTTATCCTCCTATCTTCCGCCACGTCTTTCCAATAGAACAACGGGACCGCTTTAGCTTCGCTGTTTAATATTAATGGGGTTACGAAAACGGGGTTATTACAAACTTTCATACATAACCACACCATCTCTACTTTCGAACTCAAAACGGAATAATTTCCATATTTATTTCCGCAAAGTCCTCTTAAAAGAGCATGCACCTTTCATCTTTATAGATTAAACTATCATTAGGGTTTTAATTAAAGCAATATTAGGGATTAATTTCACGTGACGTGGACGCAACCAGGAAAGGCCACGTGTACAGCTCTTTTCCCCCTCCTCTTCTTGGCTGCCGAATCGGCGGCATCTGTGAGATGCGGAGTCAACTGGAGGACCGAAAAATTCAAAGACTGCTTTTTTTATTTTATTTTGTGGGGCTTTGCTTTGCTGTCTTTGTTTAATTCCAGCACGCCTTTAAATTTTGCAGAATCAGTAAAATATTTTGACAAATTTATTGGCGTGCCCTCCACTTTGTCCGTATTGTCATCTCGGGTCCTTGATGAATTATACTCGTGACTATCGAGTTTGTCTCTATCGATTAATCAATGACCATATCAATTGACTAATCTCTAGGTAAATCATGTTCTAAAGGCGTTTATTTGATCAAAATCCAAGTTGTCTCATGCGTAACGTGCATTGCATCGGTGCAAAAATTTATGTTAAGCTATATAGAACTTGATTTAGATGCAAGTTGCCAAAAATAGATGTTAATTAGGAGAGGTAAGGACGGCGACGGATCGGGTGGTTTACGAAAAGTCCTCCACCGGGTAGAATTTCAATCTCGGAATGTTGGGCGTGCGTTTCTGAATTCTTTTATTTCAAATTGTATGGTTCATCCGAACGTTTGATTCGATTAACCAGGTGGGTCTACGTATGTCGTCGCCCCATGGATGTACATATATATATCCTCTTGCGTACATACATCGTTGGTTAGGTAAGATCTTAATCTCGGGATGCAGGGCATGTGCGGTCTCGAAATTATTGTGGGCGGAAAACAATGCGAATCGAGGTCGAGAGTTTGACCGTTACGTATGAATACGTAGAATCGACGGTCAAGCGATAATTTCGACTTTAATAAGAATTACTTTTAGTTGTCGATTTTCTTTTTGAATTCTTTAAGTTCAATTCGGTTTATTTCATTTTAATAAACCAATAATGCGAGTCACGTGGCAGACAAGAGGATGGCAATGTTCAAATGGTACTTTCATTATCATTTAGATTTCTCATTTCCCACATGCCATTGGCTAGCTAAAAAATTTCAAATCGATCCATTTTATAATATTTTCGTGAAAAAAGAATTCTAAGTTTGCTGATGACTTAAGAGACGATATAAGAATGACCAGAAAGACCTTTTTTTTTTCCCTGGTTTACTAATGAAAACTAAGGAATAAATTACAAAGTACCATTTTCTACATTTTACTTGTCTTCCACTACTTTAATTATGGTCAACATAAAAAAAAGAAATCATGGTCAATACCAAGTGGAAACGAGTGCAAAGCTATTCTCATTACTTTAAAGGAGGAGAAGTATTCAAATATCTGGATTTTCTTAGGAAGGTTGTTATCGAATGAAAGAAATTATCGTAATTTAAAATGAACAATTTGATTAAATATTAATGGGTTTATGAAACTAATGTAACTACATCGAAATTAACGTTTCAGGCTTTCATGAAATTCCTTAACAAAAATTCAAGGTCGAAACGGTTAGTGTATTTGCTTTATGTATAAATCCTTCATTTTCTATTTATCACACGATATAAAGAAAACAGTTTGACAAGATTATATCTTCGCAATTACCTTCCACCAAGTACATGAATCGCAAGATATGACCTACTTTTTAAAGGCACAGATAGTTTATATATTTTTTTAAAATTCATTTAGTGTATGATCAAATTGTGATGATTTATAATTACTACTGTTGTTGTTGTTGCTGCTGCCACTAGAAGTTACCATTACTACCTTAACCCATTTAAAATTAGCAGTTGTTATACATACCGGTAACCGGTTCAATCGAATCGCCACAATTATTGTTTTTGCTCACCTCATCGCCTCTAGCACTGTCGATCATTTTGACGCCTTCATCGTTCGTCACATGCCACCAACATAATTGCTGCTTGTCCTCCCCCAACAACCTTTCATATCGATAAATCACCGCTTTCGAAAATCTTTATAAAAACTTCTTTTTCCCATGAAAGAAGTCCGAAACGACCGATACATCGAAGAGAAGGGCAATGTAGAGTCCGAGCTGTTGACTTTTCTAAACAAAGGCCGAAGCGAATCTGAAAAAAATCTCACGTGATTTGACTGCTACGATCGATCGTACTCGTACGTGACGAGAGCTAAAGAAGAAGGAAACTATTCGAAGGAGCCTTCTCATCAAAAGATCAACAAAAAATAGACAGGGACTTCTGAAAATCTTTCAAGATCCAATGCCACAAACTGTTCCCATTTCTCCAAAATTTGTGAGAAACATGAAGCAAATTTTTGGAGCCAAGAGGGACTCAATCGCCTTTTCCGGTGAATGATAAGAAAATGATGTTGGTCCCCCCACAATAGTCACAATAACATCTTAGACCCCCAAAAAGAAAATTGAAAAATAATCATAACAATAATATCCCAAAAGGTCAAAAAAAAAAGAGGAGAATCTATGGAAAAATCCGACTTTCGTTCTGGCTTCCTCTGCCGCGTACATTTACTCTGTTCATTGACTCAGGAGCCCCCCCACCAACCTCGTCTCAAGCTTCAGCGCCAGTAGCATTTCACCGACGGGGGGGCGAGCTCGAAGCTCGGGGTAGTTGGCAAACTAACCCATGGAAGTTTTAAAGCTTTGAAGGGAGAAATGAGAAGAGAGGAAATCTTGTGGAAAAGTAAGAAACCAGCGGCTTTCTCGAATAGCGGAATTTGAAAAACGTGTGGACGGTGTCGTGGGGGGGAGAGAGAATTTTTAGGCTGAAAAAACGCCGTGGGGCAAAGCTTCCATGTGACTTGTTGGGAGGTTTTATATATATTGGAAGATCCTATAGATTCCCACTCATCATCACCCTTTTTTTTTTTGTTTATCTCCTGCGGTGACCCATCAGAGGCTCTGTCTGAAAGCTCTCTGTTTCCCCCATTTATCTCCTCACTCACTCTCGGTCTCTGCAACAGGAGAGCCCTCTGCACTCGTCCAGATAGGGAGAGGGAGAGGGAGAGGGAGAGAGGGAGAGGGAGTTTTTGCAGAGAAACAGTACCCAGAGGAGAAGAGAGAGGGAGAGGGAGAGGGAGAGGGAGTTTTTGCAGAGAAACAGTGCCAAGAAACAGGGTGGAGAGATGGCACTGGCCAAAGAAATCATGGGTTGCTCGGTGATCGAAAGGTCTTCATTCGTTTCCACCTCAAAGGTGGTTTTGAGACGCAATCGTCAGGCAAAACAGAACCTTGGGGTCAACCCGGCTTTGATCCACCAGGGAAGAGTGAGCCTGAGGAAGGGCTCGGGAGGTCCTGCTGCCGTGGCGGCCATAAGTGAGGATTTGGTGAAGGCCGTGCCCGAGAATGTTGTCAAGTTCAAGGCGAGAGCTGTGGTGACCGTGAGGCAGAAGAACAAGGAGGACTTGAAGGAGACCATTGCGAAGCACTTGGATGCTTTCACCGATAGGATTGGCAGGAACGTGGTCTTGCAGCTTATCAGCACTGAAATAGATCCAAGTAAGTTTTTTCCTCCCCAACAAGAAAAGAAGGGAAAAATCTTTCTGTACGTTGTGAATATATCCAATTCGAGACCGTCTTTTGGAGTCACCAGAGTTTTGGGGTTTTTCTTCTTCTGGGTTCCTAGTTTTCTAATCAACAACCTTTCAGAGCTTCTGATAGGAACTGTGCAAGTTTCCCAGACAGAAGGATTAAAATTTAATGTGGGTTTACATATCTCGTTTCGTTTGCATGAATTTTGAGAGATCCATAGGTAACAAAAGGCTCGGCTCCTATTACCATTACTGACTCAAGATTGAATTTTGTTTTGCTGCAAATTGAATTCCCGCATGTCACTTGAATTGGCTAGTTCATAATGTTATGAGACTGCATTTTTTTTGGTCAAATGTTATGAGACTGCATTAAAGTTTCCTAATTTTTCTTTAAATCTTTGTCCCCCTGGATGACTTTAGAAACCAAGGCTCCCAAGAAAAGCAGGGAAGCAGTGCTAAAGGACTGGTCAAAGAAAACACAGGTGAAAGCTGAGAGGGTTCATTACTCAGCCGAATTCACAGTGGACTCAGACTTTGGCATTCCCGGGGCCATCACAGTGACAAATAAGCACCAGAATGAGTTCTTCTTGGAGAGCATGACAATTGAAGGGTTTGCCTGTGGTCCAGTCCATTTCCCCTGCAACTCATGGGTGCAATCTAAGAAAGATCATCCTGGCAAGAGGATATTCTTTTCCAATAAGGTGCTTGTCATTATTGAAAGTCACTTCTCATTGTGTTTTGATGCAATTTTTTAATTGCTAATCTCAATGTCATTGCTTAATCAGATAGTGAAAGTCAAACCCCATATTTGGCATCTTAATCTTCTCAGGGAGCAACTTGAACTATTACATAGTATTGTTTATTCACATTGATCCTAACTTGTGACGTATAACTTCCTAGGTGGCCCAGAACTGGACAGCACAGTGCATTTGTAGTTCTGTTGGCATTGGCAAACCAGTAATGATCGTTCTGTATTATTACACAAGTAGGATAAAAATGATGAATAGTTTCTTTTCGGAAGTTGAACGGGCCGTTTCTCATGTCACAGATTATCTGTCTATGCTGAGATGGCCCTGACCATTTTTTTTTACATTTGTGGCAACTTTCAAGATGTTATTGAAACATTTCCCCTATTTTCGGTAGCCAAATAAATATTGTGGTTTGTGGTTTTCTTGGGCAGCCTTATTTGCCATCTGAGACGCCTGCTGGGCTAAAAGCGATGAGAGAAGAAGAGTTGAGATACTTGAGGGGTGATGGGAAGGGAGAAAGGAAATTATCTGACAGGATATATGACTACGATGTGTATAATGACTTGGGTAACCCGGATAAAGGAATTGATTTTGCTCGGCCATCCCTTGGAGGCTCAAAAATCCCTTATCCAAGACGCTGCCGTACTGGCCGTGCTCCTACTTACACAGGTCAGTTAGTTTGCCAACTCCAGTTTTCATGAATACAATGTGCTGATGACTACATGAGGAGATGGTGGTCAGCCTGACAGCAATTAGACATATATGTAGACTATGCAATTACGGATACCTCAGTTTTATGAGTTGATAATTGAATTAATATAGATCCTGCATGTACTGCCATAATGTGGATTCGTACTTGACAATGCCCGTGTAATCTCGTTGATCTTGCGGTTCACAGGCGAAACACTGTCCTTTCTTATACTGTTCCTTTTTCTTCTGTCTCTTTCTGTCAGCCATTTGTTGGCAATGCAGCTCTTTGATGCACAGGATTATATGTACTTAATTGCATGGTGCAACAACTGCATTTCTCAGTAAAACATCATTGAACCTGAAGCAATTTTTATATTTGAATATTGTCAGATATGCATGCCGAGAGCAGGGTTGAGAAGCCGTTGCCCTTGTATGTCCCGAGAGATGAGCAGTTTGAGGAATCGAAACAAAACTCATTTTCTGCTGGGAGGCTCAAAGCTGTGCTTCATAACTTAATACCATCCTTGAAGGCCAGCCTCTCAGCAAAAAATCTAGACTTCAATGGGTTTTCTGACATTGACAACCTCTACAAAGAAGGCCTTCTTCTGAAGGTTGGTTTGCAAGATGAACTCTTGAAGAAACTTCCGTTGCCGAAGATGGTCCAAGAATCCAGTCAAGGGTTTCTTAAATATGACACTCCAAAGATATTGTCAAGTGAGTATCATCTATCTATAAAAGTTCTTTTCTTCTTTGGTTCCCTATGATGAAAAATGAAATAGGATAGAGCACTTTCTTATGTCTACCTGGACATCATATACTAGTGATACAAAAGCAAAAGAAAAGAGATCTTCCAATTTGTTCTATATGAAGAAGAAAAAAATCTAAATCTATTTGGATGATAGGGAGTGCAATACGTCTTATAGACATGTATTATATGTGATGATTACTATTTCCTATCTGATGTTTTTCATCGTGCCTGTTTCTATAATGGGGCTGTCCTTATAATTGATGAGGCATTTTTCAGTTAGAGATTGGGGATTTTACAGGTGGACATGGGATCAGTGCTAATTCAACTAGATCAATTTGCTGACTTTACCTTTAACTGAATATTCAGAGGACAAATTTGCGTGGCTACGAGATGACGAATTCGCCCGTCAAGCGTTAGCAGGGGTTAACCCTGTGAACATCGAGAAGCTCAAAGTTTTTCCTCCAAAAAGCAACCTTGACCCTGAAGTCTATGGTCCTCTAGAGTCTGCCCTCAAAGAAGAACACATTTTGGACCATCTCAATGGCATGTCTGTTCAACAGGTAACAATCAAGACATTAACTTGAGTCATCATTACCCTAAGTTATACGTACTTTTACAGTTGAAGTATATGGTATTCATCCCTTGTTAATAGCTAAAAGGTCTTCTCTTATTTTGCCAATTATTCTTCGCAGGCCATAGATGAAAGTAAACTGTTCATGGTGGACCATCACGATGCATACCTTCCATTTCTGGACCGTATCAACGCCCTTGATGGCCGCAAAGCATATGCGACTCGCACCATCTATTTCTTGACCCCTCGGGGAACACTTAAACCGATTGCCATAGAACTTAGCTTGCCAACTCAAGGGCCTAGTTCTCGGTCGAAGCGCGTGATAACACCTCCAGTCGATGCTACTTCTAATTGGATGTGGCAGCTTGCTAAAGCCCATGTCAACTCCAATGATGCTGGGGTTCACCAACTCGTAAATCATTGGTGAGTGAACCGCTACATCTTATAAGACTTATTACAGCTCAAATTTGGACTCAGAATTGACATCATAACACATCGTCTCATGGAGTGCTTAATCTCTGCAGGTTACGCACCCATGCGTGCATGGAACCATTCATACTGGCTGCGCACCGGCAAATGAGCGCGATGCACCCAATATTCAAGCTGTTGGATCCACACATGCGATATACACTGGAGATCAATGCCTTGGCACGTCAGAACCTGATCAATGCTGATGGTGTCATTGAGTCTTGCTTCACTCCTGGCCGCTACTGCATGGAAATCAGTGCAGCTGCATATAAAAGCTTCTGGCGCTTCGACAAGGAGGACCTCCCTTCTGATCTTATTCGAAGGTACCTTCACAGAACCACATGAACGAATGCATAATGTATCGAACGTCCCATTGAACACAGTTAATGGGTTCCTGAAATCTTGCTGAATAAAAGTAGGTATGGATATAGATCGAGTTGGATTTATTCAAGCAGACAGTTTTAAGAAAAAGTGATGCATATATATATAAATATACATATAACATTCACAAGAACATACACAGCATAATTCACATTAAAAGCAAATTTTTCCCTTTTCGGGTCCTATATAAAATGTTACAGTATATTTGCAAAAACATTCAGTTTCAATTCAGTCGGGTTGTTCCTGTGTGCTCATCCTGTCTTTGGTTTCAATACTCTCCTTTAATCCTATCATCCCAACTCTAATCAATGTTGTACCTTTTACTTCAGGGGTGTGGCTGTGGCTGATTCCACTCAACCACATGGCTTGAAACTCCTGATTGAAGACTACCCATATGCATCAGATGGGCTTCTGATCTGGTCTGCACTCGAGAACTGGGTGCACTCGTACGTAAACTACTACTACCCTACTGCTGCCGTGGTTTGTAATGACCGAGAGCTGCAAGCTTGGTATGCTGAGTCCGTTAATGTGGGCCATGCTGATATCCGCCACGCAGACTGGTGGCCCAAACTGGCAAGCCCAGAAGATCTTGCCTCGATCCTCACCAAAATCATCTGGCTTTCCTCGGCCCAACACGCGGCCCTCAATTTCGGGCAGTACCCCTATGGTGGATTTGTGCCAAACCGCCCACCCCTGATGAGGAGGTTGATTCCCTTCGAAGGTGACCCCGAATATACAAATTTCGTAGCTGACCCGCAGAAGTTTTACCTCTCTGCATTGCCTAGTCTGCTCCAAGCCACGAAATTTATGGCCGTGGTGGACACGCTATCGACTCACTCGCCCGATGAGGAGTACATAGGGGAGCGACAACAACCGTCTGTTTGGACAGGCGATGCTGAGATTGTTGAGGCATTCTATGAGTTCTCAGCGGAGATCAGGCAGATAGAGAAGGAGATCGAGAGAAGGAATAATGATCCTAGCCTTAGGAATCGGTGCGGGGCGGGTGTGTTACCCTACGAGCTGCTCGCACCCAGCTCAGAACCGGGTGTAACATGTAGAGGTGTGCCGAACAGTGTATCCATATGATGGATGCGGTTGTTATAACTCAGTCTCAATAAGATATACCTCGGAAAACCCTCGAGGTACATCGGCATAGATTTTCTGCAGAGCATAACAGTATCGCCATGTTTGTATGTAGATTGCTAATTCTAAGTGCGTTATCATGCTTGTCGAACTTTAGAATTGTATATGCAGTAGGATTCATGAGCATTAGAGTTGTATTATATGATATAGTACTTATTTATGTTACAAAAATTCAGAGTTGAGACTCGTTGCATTGTCTAATCACCACAAAAGTTAAAGGTTGGCACTTCATTTGCAGTACATAGATGTTTGCTTGCCTTTTTTTCTTTTTCCAGAATGTCAGCTGATGAAGACTGTTGATAGAGATGTCTGGAACAGAATGAGAAACCTGCTACATTTCATTATTACTGAGGTTTCACACAAGTGACGGACCATGTAAATTATTCTGCCGATTCAGATTTAGAAGACGGCCTTCGGAGCAGAGATATGCCTACTATAACGCGTACCCGTGTCGTGCATAGAAACTGAGTTATGCGAGGCGGACCCAATAGTGTTAATCACGCTTTGAGTCAAGAACTCGGCCTATATACATACCGAGTATTTTCTGGCCAAATTTCTACGTTACGACTATTTACCGAATTCGTCATTGCCTCAATTTTGCTTTCATATATTCATTTTTTGCAATTAGAAGCTGCTTCTGCGCGCGCCCAATGTCCTGTGCTTTTCAATGATCTCTGTTTTGGACTAGAATATCTCATCAGAATCTATGAAAGGAACTGGCGATCCCTACGGTGAGGGCGGGGCCATGATCGTGGCGGGATTTCCCATTGCGAAGCAGGAGCACGGTGCAAATTGTGATACATGATCAAAAGCACCATTATTCACCTTCATTGCTGTTCTTGACCGAAGTGAATGGACTCCATCATTCCGCCTGCTCTCCTCATACGAAGTGTTGGGGGGGGGGGGGGGACCTTGCTGTCTCTCGTTTTTGCGCATTCCCTTCCATGATCAACAAACGAAGTGGGAAAAGGGGGATGGTGCAATATGCGTTCCTGTAGACACCAATGGTGCTGGTGTTGGGTTCCTGTATTAGATAGTGGGGGCTCGGTCACCTCCTCGGAGATGGTTGGAGGCTTTTCTGCAGAAGAAACGATGAAAGCTGGAATGAGTGCAGCGTTCCTGGCTATGGATCGTGGAAGACGAAGCTGGTAGCACCCTTGCATGGAGGAAGATCCACGAGAAAGTTTGTTGAAGCCTTCGTAGAGTCCGGTTAATTTCTTTAGATAAATATTATCTAATCTATGTGCATCTCGTTCAAAAGTCGCTACATTCTTAAATTATACTTTTCGACATAAGTTTCGGGACCTGGTACTTTTCAAAGTTTTAGGACTTAATTCGATAATCGAAAAGTTGAGGATTTGATTGTACTTTTTTTTTGTGAAGGTTTAGAACTTAATTGAATCAATTGAAATGTTTTATGACTTAATTGCATTCTGTACATAAAGTATAGGAGCTGTGATGCAATTTTCGTGAAATTCACTTTTGGTGAAGAGAATGAAAAATAAATGAATAAATCTCCGCACATGAAAGTTGGTAGGTTGAATTTTTGTCAACCCAGTTCGTTGAAAATGAATGACTTAGAGAGCATTTTCCTAAAAACCGATTGATCGTATCTCTTGAAATAAATTCATGATCAATAACAATTTATGTTTAAATATTTTCATGGATGAGGGAAATATTTTTCAATCATTCATTTTTGTAAGTGATAAATACGATAATTTCCGAGAAAATATCTTCCAAATGATTCATTTTCCGTGAAGTAAACAGACCTTAAATATGTCTAATCGTGTCGGGTCGTGTTGTTGGTCTAATCGTGTCGGGTCGTGTTAACAAGAAATCGCCACTCCTCCAATGTGCATTTATGATCTTTCTGCCGATTCAGCAAATCCATCCTCACAAGTTTGATTCTAATCATGAAGTGTGCTGACTTCTGCATAGCATAACTTCTCTATGCTATTATGAGAGGCTTGAAAGTCCAAACTTACTCCTCCACATTTCTTAATTTACATATAATAATAATAATATTAATAATATCTCCCTTAATATCTTAAGTGAGGGAAAAGGAAGACTTATGTCAAAGAGGCATATTTTGCATATGGATTTGGACTGACATGTGGTCATCCAAGCGAAAATTGGAGGACATTCGGGATAATATAATCTAAGGCTTCGTTTATTTGGCATAAAACGAATGATTTGAAAAATATTTTCCAAAAAATGATCGCTTGTATCGCTTGAAATAATTAAATAAATGAAAAATGATTTCATTATCGACAGCAACTTGTGTTTAAATATTTTCGTGGACGATGAAAATATTTTTTATTCATTCATTTTCGTAAGCGATTCAAGCGATCATTTTTTGGAGAAGAAAAACAATATTCTCCAAATCATTCTTTTTCTGCGAAACAAGCGCGCCGTGTTTTCTTAGGCTTACTAAGGTCGAAAAACAAAATGGTGCCCAGGCCCGAACAGGCCTGGCCCGCTCAGTTCTTAGATTTGACTTTCGAGCTTTTGGGCTTGGGCCGGTCGGGCTTGAGTTTTGATTGGAAAAAGATGCACAATATTTCTTCTTTCCTTTGCAATTATGCCCCCGCGGAATTTCTCTTTTACTCGGATAAGCCACCGCGTTCCAAATATTTTTGCCATTTTTCTCCCACGTCAGCGAATGCCGTCGGGAAAAGTACCGAAAAAATCCTAAATCTATTGCATCAGTATCAATTCAGTCCTGAACCTTTCAAGAGGACCAATTCAGTCCTGAACTCTTTTCACATCAATACCAATTCAGTCCATCCAGCGAAGTTAGGCCGGAGATCGATGACGTGGACGCAGGATGGCCGACGCTGACGTGGAGAATTTTTAATAATTTTTTTTTGATGTACACGAGATCATAAGGTGGATCCAGCATCGTCATCTTGATGACGTCTACCAATTTAATTGGAGCATGAAAAGCAATCACTCCCATCAATCACACACACACACATATGATATATAATAATGTTTTTTTCTTTTATAACAATGAAAAAATAAAAGACCGCGGGTCATGCTTTGAATAATGCCCAAAAAGCTCCTTCTACTGCTTGCTTTCTCCTTTCATATCGCCACTTATTGATTGCAAGAACGGCCTGAAGTTAGTGGTTGATTGTCAGGTAGGGTTTCCATTTCCTTTACTCCTCACTGGTAGAACAGATACGACTCTCCCCCATTCAGTTCCCCCTTGCCTTCCTTTTTGACAAAGAAATGATATGCATGAAAAGAGGATGGAAAATATCTCGACGTGCCGCACGTTCCCGTATCGCCATCGACGACGGAGACCCTTTTCCAGGTGGAGTAGCGCTATCTCCGTCTCGAAAGCCCGCCCTCCACATAGGAGTTCCTATGCTCGACTCCGTGGTGGAACGCTTTGAGTAGGACCCGAACCGACCCCAGCAGTCGAAACTGATCCCTGACTCGGCTCACCCGCCCTCCAAAGCTGGAATTCCTTTTTAGAGGAGGCTACCGGGGGACTCGAAAGATAGCATACAACGTGTGAGTGTACTTGCGCGAGTGCCGTGGGCGTGCATGGAGAGATAAAAATCATTTCGACAACTCAATTTACTAAGCGGGAAAAATTAGTGTTTTTTTGAAAGGATACGGTACGCAGTTTCTTATCGCTTGTCGGGTTTCGAAGACGATGACACCCTGTCTCCATCTTTAGACAAAAGCAACATATTCTTTTAGCACATAATTCATATATACAGGACAGAAGCTTGGCAGGTTGGTTGAGTACATTATGAAGCTGTGAGATGTGGTGTGTCCCCATTTCAATTTGGGAGGATATGACCATTCTGATCGAGTGTGGTGAGAGTGCATGACGCACGAAACGCTAGCGACGGTCGTCTCCTCCGTCGCCTTCAAGCTCCTGATACGGCCTCTCTTTCCTTGACCAAAAAAAAGCATGTATCATGCTTGTCGGGAAGTACAATGGTGTCATTGACATCGACTGGTCGCCTGGGTAAAACGAGCGGCTCGTGGCAGGCTTTTCGGATGGCGAGATGGGCATCACCGAATGAGGGGAAAACACTCGTGAATTACATATGTGAAATCGGAATATCTCACAAGAGGAGCATGTTGAGCAACGTTCAACACCATGCAACTGTGCTCAATTAAGAACACTAATAGGATTGGTGACCTCTCAGACAAGTACTTACCTGTTTGCCAAAAAGAAAGCCGCAAGACTCAGTATGGGATGAGTCAAAGCATGTATCATGCTTGTCGAGAAGTGCGACGGTGCTATTGACATCGATTGATTGCCGGGGCAAAAGGAGCAGCTCTTGATAGGTTTTTTGGATGACGAGATGGGCAGGAACGACTCGAATTGTGCACAGAATAAGGGGAAAACAATCGAGGACTATATATGTGAAACTGGAATTATCTCACAAGAGGAGCATTTTGACGTAACGGCAAAATTTAACACCGGCACACCAATGTCAAGCGTGCTCAACTAAGAGCACTAACATAATGGGTGATCTCCTGGGCAAGAACCCATCCGATCCGTCCGCCAAAGAGAAAGCGGCAAGACTCGGTATGGGATGAGCCAAAGCGAACAACAACTCGAGTGAGTTGATTCCCAAAGATGTCGCATCCTCACGAATCAAATTGCTCGGTACAAAACCCATTAATCCTTTTTGTGCGCATTTCCCTAAAACCCTGACCGCAACTTTGTTGTCGTGACTCCCATGTATGAACTGTTAGCAAATCCAAAGGGTTCGTGATTTCCTTAATATTTAATCGGCCACTCGAAAGACAAATCGTCCGCCACCCACTAAAGATAAGATATGATACTCGTTGACGGAAAAGGATGCTCCGGAGGCCGGTGAGAAACCGCAGCCCCGCCGGCGGCTTTGACTCAGGTCAACCAGGAAAATCTCGGGGAAAATACTTCACAGGGTGCATCCAAAGTTTCCGGGAAAATGAGCGGAAAGTTTCGGCGACTGACTATTCACACCTGGGGGAGAGGGAAGCAAGTCAATGGGGTCAAGAGTCAAGAGGCGTGGGCAGTTTCTTTAAAGAGTTTCTTGGCATTTCGCACTCCCACTGGGAAGTTGCATGTGAATTCATCAGGAGGGTGTGGAAGTTTCTCGGTGATTGGAGCACATCAGGTGACGGTCGATTCTGAAGAGAAAGTGGGGAAGAGGGTGTTTCCCGG